CACGGGTCGCCAAAAAACTTGGCCTCTGCACTGTTCTCAAACAGGCAGCCTATCTCCAGTTTAGCGGCTCTCTCTGGGATCGCCAAAAAAAAAAAAAAAACTTGGCCTCTGCACTGTTCTCAAACAAGTAGCCTATCTCCAGCTTAGCGGCTCTCTCACGGGTCGCCAAAAAAAAAAACTTGGCCTCTACACTGTTAGACAGTCTATCTCTAGCTTAGCGGCTCTCTTGGGGGTCGCCAAAAAAGCTTGGCCTCTGCACTGTTCTCAAACAGGCAGCTTATACCTCAAGTTTAAAGACTCCCTCATGGGTCGCCAAAAGCTAGGTCTCAAAAAGTGTAGCTCTCTCACGAGCAGTTTTCCAACTTTGTCTTTGTTCTTGCGCAAGCAGCCTACTTCTCTCTCTCCAGGTAATTATGTGAGATATTTTAATGTTTGGAATAACATTATTTTTGTCATCACAAGCAAGTTCTCCCGAGGTTGCCCCAGGCTCACCCAAGGCGCCCAGCACCTGGAGAAGGGCTTGATCATCAAGAGCAGCACCCAAAGCTTTCTTACTACTTGCAATGTCTAGCCCAACGCCTAGAAGTGTGCCTGACTACTGTTGCTCATCAAAACAAAGTTGCCCAGTAGCTTGAAGGGTGCCTGACCCTTCAAAATTGTGCAAAGCAGAATTTTCGGCGTAAAAATCAGCACCTTGAGTGGGAATCAGATCAGCCCGTGCTCCCAGGCCACTCCCTAGCTCTCCCTGATGAACCTTGGTCTGATTTTCAGTGCCCCTTGATGGAAAAATGCTGCTGCCCAACATTTCAAAGCCGCCCAGCGCAGCAGAACTAAAGCTGACCAGCACAGCTGAGCTGTCTGAGACAGCAGACGCAGCAGCCAGGCTGCTGCCCAGCGCACTTGGGCTGTCCAGGACAGCAAGGCTAGCGCACAGGCAGCTGCCCAGCGCGTCTGGGCTGTCCAGGACAGGAGGAGCAGAGCCCAGGCAACCGCCCAGCCCCCCACCGCGCACGCGCGAGCTGCCCAGCTGCGCGCCTGTGCTGCGTAGCCGCGCACTCAGCCTTTTTCCTTCGCTATCCAAGCCATTCCTCGCGCTGCACATCTCCCCTTCGCTGTCCAGCCCTTCATTTACAGCCCCAAAGCTGTCCAAAATAGCATTCGAATGCTCAAAACCAGCCTCCAAGTTCTCCAAAATGGTGCCTACTTCCTCACTTTCTTCAACCTCCACCACTCCCTCTTCAAAATAAAGTGGGAAAGACTTGAAGTTAAAAAAAAAAAATAATAATAATAATAATAATAATATGGTCAATGCCTCCTTCTCCAAGTCTCATTGGACATGNACCCAGCATATAGAGAGATTGTTGCTCGACTCAAAGTCGTTCATTCATAATCAACAGTGGTTGTCCATCCGGTTTGGTATCTAATGGGTTAAGCTCAAATAGTCCAATTCATGTGTTAAAGTCCAACTCCAGTTGAGGAGCCCAACCTCATTTTGAATCTATCAAGCCCAAGACAGTCCAAGACCGGTTAGACTTTTTGCTTAGCACGTCATCAAGNTGATGGGTTAAGCCCAAATAGTCCAATTTATGTGTTAAAGTCCAACCCCAGTTGAGGAGCCCAACCTCATTTTGATTCCATCAAGCCCAAGACAGTCCAAAACCGGTTAGACTTTTTGCTTAGCACGTCATCAAGAGGAGAGCATGAGAAGTTTATTTGCACCACCGAAGGAAACGGTCCAAGCTTTGACCACGTTTCATGAAGAGCTCCCCAACCTCCTCCTTCCGTTGAGGATAGGTCGTGATCTCCACCAAAATGATCTCTTAGCTGCGATAAAGTAGCCTTGAGGATAAGTCATGATCTCCACAAGAATGATCTCTTAGCTGCTATAAAGTAGCCCCAATCTGTGAGGAGACGAGAGATAGGAAGGTCACGCCCCACCAACACTTACAGAGGACAGACCGACGACCGGAGACCACTCCTTCTTTGATTCTCCATTCTCTCAAAGCTTGTATCTTTACTCTCCATACCTCTGAATTAATAAAATACCCGGCAACTGAAGCCATTGAAGAGTGGACGTAGGTCGAATTGACCGAACCACTATAAATTGTGTCTTCTTTAATTCCTTCATTGATTTCACTGCATTTATTATCTACACTTGACAGGTAGTGTGCAAAATCATTTTTGTGCATCATCAGTAAATAAGTAAAAAAATTTAAATGTCATTTGAATTTTGTACTTAATCACAAATTTTTTTATTAAAATTAAACTTAATAAAATAAAATACTTATTCATACACTTTATCTCAAATAAATCTAAAAAAATTGTACCTGCACAAAAAAAAAACCCATTTATAATCTTAAGATCCAAT